GAATTCACTTGGACTAAAAGAGACATTATCATTTTTTGTTCATTTGTTCATTTATATAGTCATTCAACAAATACTTACTGAGTATTCATTACATGCCAGAAACTATTCTCATCCATTAACAAATTAGCATTATTGTTAATAATTACACATTTGGTGCCTGACCGTGGTGGCTCGGTGGTTGAGTGTCAACCTATGAACCAGCAGGTCATGGTTCAATTCCTGGTCAGGACACATGCGAGGGTTGCAGGTTCAATCCTCACTTGGGGGCATGCAGGAGGCAGCCAATCAATGATTCTCTCTCATCATTGAAGTTTCTGTCTCCCTCTCCCTCTCCCTTCCTCCCTGAAATCAAGAAAAACATACTAAAAAAATAATTACACACTTGGTGAGAGTTGAGTCAAGATGATCCTTTCCTTGAAGGGGCTTGTTGCCTGGATTTCCGCCCCCCACCCCCCAAAAGCACCTTATTCATGAGCAATAGAATGTCCTCACCAATCCCAAATTGCTTGACTTGACTGTGATTGTGAGTTATTTGAGTGTAAGGAAAATTACTTTACCTTCGTTTTCTTCCTAATTGAGTACCAAACCCCAAGCTCATATATAGTCCCTTGTTACAAGTTTGTTGGTAGTGCTAGTAGAAGCAGCAACAGCATTAAATCATAATGATAATTTGTGCTTTAAAAATGGGCATTTGCCAAAGAGCTTGATCTAGAAGAACCCCTCTGGCAAGGTGAGGGCTGTGAATTCAGGGAATTCTTCGACCATTCAGCTGGCTCTTAGGGCCAATTAAAGTCCGTATTTATTGATGCAATCAGCAATTCCATATTTATTGTACTGAATGCATGTTTATAATCCTTAGAAAGTATTTATGAAGCAAAGTGTTTGCTGCAAAAACATTTCCCTTCACAGTGGTTCTGTATGGAAAGGCCAAGTTAGATTGAGATTCTGCGGCTCAGCAGACGGGACCTCACATTCTCTAGTTCTCATCTCAGTGTTTGGCACAAAGCATTCACCACTGGAACACCAATACATTTAATAATGATTATTTTTAATTAAAGTGCAAGAGTGGATAAAGACTAATTTATTCCATTGTGCTGTGTTCTCTGCAGTTTTCTAAGCTTTTCGCTACAATAATACTGCCCCCAAAATAAGGCAGACAGTTTAATTAGTCTCATTAAAGGCTTGTATATAGACTTGTATAATGTTTCCTACAGTAGCAAGAATAACATTTTTTTTGAATTTGGAGTTTTTGTATTTTAGTTTATGTTCCAGTGATGGTGTTTCTGTGTGTGTGTGTGTGTGTGTGTGTGTTTCTGATCAGTAAGTCCTTGACTGCTTGGTAATTCTCAAGGGGAAATTAGACCACCATTTATTTGAGATGCATTAGGTGTCAGACACTGTCCTGAATGCCCTTGAGTATATTATCTTACTTAAACATCACCAAAGTCTTTGAAAGAGTTTACTGCAATCTATATTTTATAAATAGAAAAGCTGAGGCTCAGAGGATTGAAATAATTTTATCACACTTATACTAGTAAGTAGCTGATGTGGGGTCTGGCACAGATCTTTTTGATTCTTCCCACTGTGCCATCGTTCTCTCAGTGAGAACATGCGTTTCCCTTTTTTTTGCGGTTTTGGTTTCTTATTTCTGTTCTACTAAAATGACTATGTTATAAATGCCATCAAATTCTAGTTGGGAGAATCAAGGAATAAATGAGTTTGGGAGTTCATTATCTATAAGGAAATGTGTTCTAAATGAAGGACTAACTGTGAACTCTAAGAGGCTGTCATCTCCATAGTCACTGGGTGGCCTGGGTGCCTCTTGCCAATCATCTGAGGGAGCCTGTCACACCCTGTCCTCATTGTCAGAAACAGGAAATGTGGTTGGGGCGTTTCTGCCCCTCCTTTCTGCAGCACACATCTTCTCCTTGGAATGCTATTGTCAGTTTCCCTTCTCCCCAGCCATCCATCATCATTCACCGTTTTCTCTGGTGCCTATCACCTGGCCTCACCAGCCCAGATAGACTGTAGCTTAATGAATGGCGGGAAGGAGATGCTCTGGGCCGTCCTGTGCTCTTCTCAGGATGGGACAACGTGCTCCCTAGGACTGTTCGTAGCAGCAGCTCCTTGGTTGCTTGATTACGGGAAGGCGTGTAAGGACTGGCCAGCCTGGTTGCTCGCCCAGATGTTAGTAGCTTAATGAATGGCGGGAAGGAGATGCTCTGGGCCATCCTGTGCTCTTCTCAGGATTGGACAACGTGCTCCCTAGGACTGTTCATAGCAGCAGCTCCTTGGTTGCTTGATTACCGGAAGGCGTGTAAGGACTGGAGCCTGGTTGCCGGCTAGGATAAATCTCAGAGCACAGAGAGTCACAGGCTGAATGGTCTTTGGCCACAGCCTTTACCTTTGGTTGTGAAGCTCTGTTTTCAAGAATATTTCCCCTGGGCCAGTGTTGTTTATTGGTGATTTAGTAAGCCAGGTGAAAACTTGTGGTCTGTAAGGAGGAAATCACAGAGAATACAGTGTGGATGGCCCTTGGTAGCAGGACTGGAGTAACAAAGAAGTTCTTGTATGTGGAATTGCTCTTCAGCTTCAAGTCTCTCTCCTTTTTTTTTTTCCCCTTCATATTTCTGCCCAAGCTTTCAGTAATCCTGTGTCTATAGCTAACAGGGATTTAGAATAAATGACTGGAGGTGGGTAAATCAGGTCTGTATTTAATTATTGAATACCAAAAATCACAGAACATCAGAATTTTTAAAAGCCTTTGGAGATCATGTAGTCTTTAAAAAGATATGCTCACATCTAGTAGATTTAAGCATTATTTTTTGTGTGCATTCATTTATTCCATAGTAAGTTATTTATGTTGTCCCTGGAGTGCAGAATATAACCAGGTTTCTTCTATACAACCACCCCATTTCCTTGGTGACTCAATTGTGTCTAGATTTTATGATCTTAGAAGGGGAAGTGTTGATAAAAGAGGCATATTGACTGCTCCTTTTTTTCTGTCTGTGACTATCCGGGGACCTCTGAGGAGGGTTTTTATGAAAGAGTAGTGTTTGTGCTGGTCTTGATGCTCTCCTTTAACTCAGCAGAACTGTCATATCACTGATGCAAAGATAGTACAATAAGATGGATTTCTTTCTAGTGAGAAAAAAATAGCTCATGCTTTAGACTTACGCGCTGAAAATGCCATTATATTTTCTGTTTTCCTTAAGACAGACCTTGCTCTGATTAGTTGGTGGAAACAACTAATCCAAGTGGGATTTGTCTAGACTCTGGTGCCCCTGGGAACTCTTGAGGATCTGGGCTATGGATTTCTGAAGCTTCACATGTTTTTATCAGTCTATTTCCAAGATGCCTCAGAGACCGTTGAGATAGATAATAAATCAGGTGAGATTAAGCTGGGTTTGGAATCAGGCAAAGAACTATAATTAGAAAGAAAATGTTTAACTTAGGAAAAAGAAGGGAAACATTGTAACTGCAGATTGTGAAGGTTTTGAGAAGTCCATTTTGTGGCATGTATCTTTCCTGTCAGATTCCTGACACTCTTAAGAAATAACATAAGATAGGTGAAAGATGAACATTACTTTTATATTGATACAGGCCAGATAGAGAGTCGAGTGAGAGTTCTAAATGAACATCAACATTAAACTGATTTGCGCACCCCCTCACAGAAGGTGCTGGACCACTCGTCCTTCTCTGACAGGGCAGAACCTTTATTTCTCAACTTAGCAAGACCACACTTATTATCTATGTGCATCCGGTTTCTAAACCGGAGTAAGGGGGTTGCTGAAGCAACTATGCCCAGCCTTTTCTTCTCAATTTAAACAGAGGAGTTAGTTCACTTTCCCTGGAGTGGGTTAAAGATGGAGAGAGGTCAGGGGTTACATTCATCAAGCTTCATTTTAATGGAAAGAAATATGAGCATTGGAGGTGGAAGGAGAGCATTTCTCCCAACATCCTAAAATATGCATTGTTTTCACATCCTAAACTCTCTGAAATTAGGATATATCTGTAATCAATGGCATCGTAATGGCTGTCCAGCCGAAGACAATCATAATGACTTGTTTTTGCCTCAGTGTGTAGGAGTTGAGTGACTATTCCTCATACTGTGACTTGGTATTTCAGATAATGAACCTCGTAAGGACCATTTGAGGAAAGAATATGATTCTTGCTTAGTACAGGGACGTTTTCTTTAGACCTGATGTTATCAAGAACATATTGATATATTAAACCTGGCAGAGTGGATATCAATCAGCAGCTTGAAATAAAGTGCTGGATACACTCCTTTAAGAAACTCACTTGATGACAATCTTTAGAAAATAAGGAAAGTGACAACTTGGAGTCATTCAGAAGAGCTGAACTCTGAGTATTCCATAGTTTTAGGAATATCTCCACCAGTTTATATTTCTTATATCTTTTTATTACATGTGTATGTGAGACTTATGGTAAACATCCACTTATTTTAAAAGGAGCTTTTCAGTAAGAAAAAATAAAGATCCTAAGTAATAAGGAAGCATTCTGTAGTTTAATTAGCAGGACATTTTTTCCCTTACTGTTAACGTAAAATAATAGCAGATCTTACAATCAGTGGGATCTTAGATTTGATGAAATACACACAGTTAAGTTCGTTTGGGTCTCTGCTCCGATCTTTACAGCCCTGGACAACTTTGTATGGCAGTTCTCTTCCCTTGAAAGTTGTCTGTGCTCTACTGTTCAAGATAGGTACTGGTGGTTAGAGAGCAAGAGCTATACCTTTGCACTTTTTCTTGAAATATACTCTATATTCTCACTGTGCTTCCATGAAAATGCTCATTCATGGTTTATTTAATGTGGAAGACTAGGCCAAGTCATTCCAAAATGTTTTGTAGATATTGAAGGCAATTGTTTTCAAAGATGGTCCTTCTTATGCCCCCATAACATTTATCTAGATATGCTTGTTTATTTCTTTGTAATATTTCTAAAAAAGTAAATCTCTATTTTTTTTTTCTGAAAGGTGGTCCTGATGACAATTTAATTGAAGGTGGAGGAACAAAATTTGTCTGCAAACCTGGAGCCAGAAATATTACTGTCATATTCCACCCGCTACTAAGGTAAGTCCAATCCTGTGTAGTCACTGAAGGTCAATATTTTCATTATTGTTGCAGATGTATGGAATGCTAATAGGTCAGTCAGCATTGAAACATCATAAAAAAAAAACTTGTTCCATTTCTTAGGGCCTCACTATCAAAGTGGTCAATAGAATAAATAATGTCAACTCCACTAAGTAGCTATTTGTTCTCAGGAGTAATACTTCATAAATACTTTAGACTTTCTCTCCTACTCTCTGTCCCTGCCCTTCTCCCTTCCCCCGTCTTTTCCTTCCTCTCCTTATGTATTTCAGGGATGGCAAACTAGGGCCCATGGGAGAGGTCTAACTGCCACATGTTTTTGTAAATACATTTTTATTGACACACGGTTCATGGTTTATTTAATGTGGAAGACTAGGCTAAGTCATTCCAAATTGTTTTCATGCTCATTCATTTATGTATTGCCCATAGCTGTTTTTGTGCTACAATTGCAGCAGTGAATATTTGCAGCAGAACCCATATGGCCCATAAAGCCTAAAATACTTACTCTCCGGCCCTTGACAGCAAAAAATTGCAGACCCGTGATCTGTCTCACTAATTTGCACTAATTACTCAGATTTCCTTTGAGAATTGGCAGGTCTCTGAACAAATATGATTTATAAAACTAAAGACATTATATCAATCAAATACATGATTTTTATATGTTGAAGGAAAACTTGATGGTGACTATTAGGGTGCTCAATTTATTGTGATATTATGATGTAAGAAAATAAGAATCCATGATAGTTCTATTTAAAAAAAAATTTTAAGCCCTAAGTACCATTAAACGAGTACTTTTTGGGATGAGGGAAGGGGGTTTGTTCAATGGATCTAAATTTTCAGTTTTGCAAGATGAAAAAGTTCTGGATCTGTTAAAACAATGTGCATATAGTTAACACTTACTGTACTGCATCCCTGAAAGACGTTAATATGGTAAATTATGAGTTTTGGCTACAATAAAAAAAGAGAACTTTTGGGACTAATATAATATCTAATATATATAATATCTAATGTAATATTAATTATATGTTTTCCTTGGTAATAACCAGTACATATTTTTGCTGTATTTTCATATAATGAGTAAGAAACCCTTGAGTTCATTAAAAGTTAGATACCTCATATCATCATGTTAACTTTCTCAGGTAACTTCTATAATACTTGAGGCATGTGGATTAATGGTTAAACAAATGCTACTGAAATGGTCAGAGATAATACTGTATGTACTTTTTAAAAACATAAGTAAGTTATTACTGGAATTATCCTACCATCTCATTAGCCAAGAATTACTAAATTGATATCATTAGAATTCACTTAATTCTCATCTTTTAACCAGTTTTTTTAAAATTGTACTGGAATACTTTACCCAATTAGGTTTAAATGCAAAAAGCACAAATAAATAAATTCAACAACAGTAACAATAAAAATCCTCACTTTTGCACAATAAAAAAGAAAAGATTTTAAAAGAAATGTTTTTTATCTTTAAAAAATTGTTTTAGTAAACATTTGAGTAAATTTATGTAATTTAATAATGACTGAATTAAGAGAATTAAGACTATTCCTCTAAATGTACTTGATTTTATATACATATGAAATAGGTAAATTACAACATAAAGAATTTCTAGATTAAGTAACAATTCTCTCATATATGGACTGACTTTGGTAATTAATTTAGTACTCACTCTCTTCTCCAATTACAATTGATTTCTACTTAGTTAATGTTGCTAATTGTTAGGAAGATGGGAAACTACCTAAATCAGTATAGGCATCTTCTAACCTAGATTGAACGCCATAATTGACTGCAGAGCTCCTTATGGCTTGGTAAATGGAAGCCTCGTGCTTACATTTGTCCCTGAGTACAAAAGAAACAGACCCTGTGGAAGTTTTTGGCAGTGTTGTTAATAGCCACTTTTCTAGAGCTTTTTTCCTCATAAACATTTTTTCCTCTTTCAATGTGAAGTTAGTTGAATGGAAAAACATACCATTTCCCACTTAATAAAATGCAATTCGGGTAAAATACTGGTAGAACTTAACGCATTACAGTTCTTGACTATTATTGTTTAGTGTTATTTGTGCCTGCTTTACTAAAGAGTTGTTTTGAGGCTGGAGAATACTCCTATTAGGTTTACTCACTTGTTTGGTCTCTACTTTCATTCAGAATTGTATTATTATTATTATTATTATTATTATTGCTGACCTCAAAGGATTGTTTGAGGCAATCCAGTGTGGCATGTGGTGAGCTCTGATGAGCTGCTATTATTATTATTATTATTATTATTATTATTTTTCAATCCTCACCTGAGGAGTGAGGATATTTTCCCAATGATTCTTTAGCGAGAGTAGAAAGGGGGGGAGGAGGGGAGAGACACATCATCTGAGACACATCAATTGGTTTCCTACCACATGTGCCCAACCTGGGGCAGGGATCTGACCTGCAACCCAGGTATGTGCCCTTGATCAGCAATTGAACCCAAGACCCTTCGGTGCGCAGGCAGGTGTTCTACTACTGAGCCACAAGGGTCAGGGTCAGAATTTTATTATTGATTAGAACTGGAGAAAGTTTTGTTGCATGATTTACAATAGTTTGTCATTCATTCATTCTCTGTGTAACTCTTAATATTATGTGGTTTGTAAGGTAAGTCAACTCTTCTCCAAGGAGGTCATCATCATAGGCTTTAAATTAGCCTTTGATTCAAAGTGCAGCCTATCTTCTCAAACCATTATAGAGTTGTAGCTGATAACTCTTGATGGGCTTATGGAACTTCAAATGACTAAGATCTTTTAGTATTTAAAATTTTTTTTTTTTTAGTTTTTATACTTCAGCACTTGCTGATTATTAGATTTAGTATTTCTTCTAAAGTTTGGAAGTTTACTTTCAGTAATGATGAGAATCAGTGTGCATTATCATACTAGTATATTTTATTTTTACTATTATCATTAGAAAATTTCCAATTTCTTCTGTAGTCATTCACTTATTTATGGTCAATAAATGAGATGTTTATGGAATACTTGCAATGTGTGTTTTCCCTTCTCTAAGTTAGATCTGTGGTCTTGTTTAGAAATAGTCACTCTTACTTTTATGGGCTTATTTAAATATGTCTAGATACCTTTTTCATCCTTTTGCTCTTTGCTTTTTTTTCCGTGCTAGTTTAAAGTGAATGTGATTTAGCAACTTATGACTTAAAAGAAGATGTAACATAGTGGGAGAGGCAGTGTAGAAGAATGGAAAGTTAGGAAAAAGCATAATATTAAATTTTAAAAAGAAAACCAGAACAAGTTATCAAAGTTCAAATGTAGGTTCCATCACTTCACTTTTACTCACTGATTATTTCTTGAACTCTGATTCTATGCCAAGTTCTGAGGAGACAAAAACATAAGATGGAATCCTTGCCTGGCTGCAGAGGTGGCAAAAAGTTAGGAAGTCGAAAACACCAATTATTGGAGAGGAGGTTGATCAGTGGGATCTCGTATACCTACTATGTGAACTGGGACAGCCTCTCTGCAAACAGCTTGACGTTATTGAGTGATCACATCCTGTCCCCAAGTAGTCCCATCCAGATGTGTTTCTGCTGCTGTGCAGTGACTAATTTTCTTTCCGTCCCAATTTTCCAAACTCTTTTTCTCATTGATGGTAATAATGAGTCTTTATTTATAACTCCATATTAAAAATAAGTTCAGAAGGAACTCATCACTAATTGACTTTTATCACAAGCCAGCACTGTTCAAACATGATGTCATTGTTTTCCTCAACTCTTTCAGTGAGCTCTCACATACTTCTCACCCGCAAGGAAGAAACCCTCCTACGTGTGTTGCAGGGCCTTCATTTTTCCTTCCCTTCCCTTCTCCTGTGTCTCGCAACACTGTACTCTGTCTTCCAGAAACTTTGGCTGTGGCTTTTCCACACTTTATTTATTTAAAAATTGCTTTTCATAATTTTTATTCAGCTGCCAGTACATTCTTTGCAGCCTGAAGGTTTTCCCTACAGAAAACTGAACCACCTGCTGAGAACACCACACTGTGGATTCCCATTATGCTGTTTTATATATGCTCAGCAGTCGTTTATACTGTCCTCACGTAAACTTATTGCACAGGCTCCTCAGATCTGGTAACCTTGCAGACTTATCCTTGTACTCTTCTCAATTAATGCCGGCCCATCACCAGGAAACGCACAGGCTGTTGGAGGCAGATATACTGACTTCCTATTTGTTCACTCCTCATTAACCCTGCTGACCCCTCCCGTGAGTTGTTTACTTAATGCTTTTCCATACCGTTTTCTCTTTTTGGTTCATAAACCAGAAAATTGTCTGAGAGTGTGAAGTTTTAGAAAGATGAAGTATAGTAGTATCCTTGCTTCAGTCTTGGTCTAAAAGGGCATTGTGTGCAATTAAACCTTTAAGCTTTGGATGATAAGATAAGGGGTCATCTGATCAATTTTTCTCCTGGTGGGTCTAAATGAAAAACAAACAAAACCATATTGAAATAAATACACTTCAGGCCACACCGGGTAGATTCTGAAATACTTGCACCAAAATATAGACCCTGGAAATGATAGAACTGATGCCTTTTTCCCACCGACCAGTTTGCTATTTTTATAGCTTTCTCATAAAACATGCACGAGGAATGATGGATTCACTCTGATAAATGGAATTTATTTTCTAGGCCTTGAATTTGGAGAACAAAAGGGAGAAATGTTAATGTTGAAATTTGAATGGCATATTTTTCTTCTTTTGTCTAGGTCTGACATGAATTTAGATTGTTAAAATAAAAATTATTATTTTTGAATAATTATATCATGGTAATTATTAACCATGATCTAAATATAACTAAGCCTTCACCAAATGAAGTACATTTTATTGAGGTATCAACCATAGTTTAACATAGTGTAACACTTTTTAATCACAACTAATATATAATAACTTTGTGGCTGCTGTTTGGGGGGAGATGGGGTGAGAATTTCTTTTTCCCTTTGTGTTTTCATTTATTTATTA